GAATTTTGATACACAACTCTTTTACGGGATATGCATACATCTGTTCCCCAAGTAGGAAGGGGTAGCTGACAGACAACAAGAAAAGACATTATGATAAAATACTCCCCATGTTGAATCCAAGACGTTTTTAATCCAAACATTCATTCAAGTTGAAAACATAGCTTTCAATTGTCCATTCTTACTACTTACACAAAGATTCGAATATCCAAAATAAAATACTACGGTAACTGCTTTATAACAAGCCATTGAGATCAACCGGAAAATCAAAAATCATAATTTACTTTACACGTTATTTTTGTACACCAATTTTCTAATAATCACAATTCATGACTCACTGTATACATTGTTTTATGAGAAAAGCATTAAACTAAACTGTCAAATGCAGTTGTGTGGCCGGAGTGTGTCAATCTTCATTCTTCTAATTGATAAGGTATAGGTTGAGCGTCATTTCCGCTGGGAAATAAAACTGTCGCCGTCGCTTACTTAACCATAGTCTCCTATCAAGCCGTATTTAGTGTCGTCACGCAATGCTCCTCCCTACATGGAGGAGAGTTGCGTGATGACCAAAGAAAGGCTGCTACGGAAGCTAACGTGACCCACCAATCTTACCCAGCGAGATATTGAAAACAAGTGATGCAACACGCAAAAAAATTATTGGCGATGATGTATTTGTCAAAAAACGAAATAGCGCTTGTGTTAAAAACACTCCCCCACGAATCTTATGTTACACTTCAAGAGAACTTCAAATTTTCTGCGTACCAGTCAAAACTCGGAGCATCACGGGATGAGTGACGTCAACAACTGTGCTGTTAAAGTAATTTTACTGCACGTTCACGGTATGTGATCCTTGCATGGATGATCTCTTTAGCACTGCCTCTTCAACAGATTCTTCCTGAGGAAGCCTGAGGTTGTTTGCTAGAGCACGTGGGCCATGTGGGCCACGCTGTCGTTTCCTGTTTCCAGGACCAAATTCGGCATCAGAAGCAGCGTCACGAATAACGGGTGGAGTTGAGCTTGGGCGAGAAGTGGGTGGCTGTGTAGTTGGTGTTACGCCACCTCCTGTAAAAAACAATAAATCAGATCAGTTACTAAGATCATTCTTCAATGACATCTTGAAACGCCTTTCTAGTCAATTTTTATCCGGTTCCAATGCAAAATGAAGAAAGTTTCTTCATCTTGGAATCAGCTATTTGTTACACAGTTGTACTCTGTCCTCGGTTTACAAATTGTCGTCCTCTTAAAGATTCAGTGTTTTTCTAATTATAAAAAACGGGCACCTTCTCAGTATCAATGCCATACTTGATGCCTTTTACAATTTTCAGAAGCCAGAAGTATCAAAGTAAGATTACCGGGCAATCAAGGCCTTTCTGTCTTTTCTGTTTTGGTATTGAGCCTCAATGGGCTCAACTGACAGGTGTTTATCCAAAACTACAAATATCCCAAAGCCCATGGCCTTTAGCTCTTTGTTCTTATCCGTTTTATGGTATTGACCGGGCCACAAGCCAAAGCCCAAGAAAGGCTACAACTACACAAATCTGATTAAACGAACAAACCACACCAAATGATCCAAGTTAATTACCTTTCAACGTCTAAGATAACATTACATTTTTAACTCAGATTACTAGTATTGACAATAATTTGATTTATGATAATGACAGCTAACAATGGCACATATCTTTAACCTTACTGCTTCAAACTAATTAAGTTTCCTTTATCTTTGCATGTTTAAGTACCGTAATGAATTATAATCAAATAAAAATTGAACCAGGCAAATAGATTGAACGATGCTACAAGTAATGAAAGAGAGAAGCCTTTAACACGTTAGATAAGAAAAATAAAAAGAAGCAAACGTCAATAATAACCTTTACACGTAGCACATATTTATTCTTAGTATTTTTAAATCAAAATAACTCTTTGGAAGTATTTCACACAGGCTGAGTTCGTCATCAACCGTAGCCTTTTCAAAATAGTACTCAGGAAAATAAATGCACACCCTACACTTGAATTGGTTGTTGATTATCCTTATCATGCACACGTGTTAATTTACTTATTTAATTGACGTGTCCATTTAGTTCGTTATCAACCTATCAACCCATTGCATTTCCTTTAAATTGATCAGTAACTGAACTCACATTGTGGGGGCTCCTCCTAAAATATTCTACAATTGGTATAGGATTTAATGGCGCCTGGACTATTTTTTGTGCAAAACAAAACATTTTAGGCATCCTACTGATGAACAGTTACGCTTTATAGATATTTCCAGCAACAACTTTTTGCCGTTTGTCTTCTTCTAATTGAAATAATACAAGTATAAACAGATACTGGTATACATGTGTCCAACAGTGCATCAATCATGTGTAACACTAATACATTCTTGCATGCTAGCAGTTTTGTCGGCGAATCTATTTGGAATCCTTCAATGAATATACATTGTACCGCGTTTTTCCAACAATATACGAAGTCATCCACCAAACAGCGCGTTAATGCAGAGAAGGTTGAAGACACAGAAGAAAACTGAACATTTAGTGGAAGAGAATATTTGACTGGCATCATCAAAATCATTGGTTTTGTGTATTGCCTTCATGAAATTTCTTTGAAAAGATATTAAGTCAGTCTTTGACAGTCTTGTCAGTCTAAACTTGTGATTCCTTGGAAGGAACTTACAGTTCGTTCCTTGATCTCCGCCAAAAAAGTTAACAAATCTACAAGCTCTTTTTGCACAATTCTAGTACTAAATAGTTTTCGATGATGAAATAAGTGAAGGTGTCTCGTCTTAACCCTGATTAGGGCACTTTCACAGTTATCGAGGATTTCTTTAACACGGCTTCGTTAAATCGTCTCTTCAGCGACTTGACGAAGCCACTCTTCCCTTCAAAATTGTGTAACTTTCTAACAAATGGTCCCACGTTTGTAGGGCCAGGCGGTTTTGTCGGTGTGACTGTGGGCTTAGTAGCGGGTTTTGTGGCAGTTGTTTTGGCCGAAGTAGGGCTAGACGGTTTTGTCGGTGTGACTGTGGGCTTAGTAGTGGGTTTTGTGGCCGTTGTTTTGGCCGAAGTCGGGCCAGACGGCTTTGTCGGTGTGACTGAAGGCTTAGTGGCAGGTGTTGTAGAAGACGGTTTGGCTGACGTCGAGCCAGGCGGTTTGGTGGTCGGTGTCGTTGGACGTACGGCACCACCTATGAATGAATGAATGAATGAATGAATGAATGAATGAATGAATGAATGAATAAATGAATGAATAGATGGGTGATGGATGGATGGATGGATGGATGGATGGATGGATGGATGGATGGATGGATGGATGGATGGATGGATGGATGGATGGATGGATGGATGGATGGATGGATGGATGGGTGGATACTGCTATATGAATGTGGATCAACCAATCACTGCTCTCCTCCGTAATGTCCATCAATCATCAAGTCCACGATAGTGATGCCACCACTTTTCGCATTGGGGCTCTTTTTTTTGGCTTCGGTAGTTAAATGACGCAGGGAGCTTAAAAAAGTAACTGTTTATTGTTTTTAGTTAAAGTTTATGACATCCTTGCTTTACTTCAAGACGAAAGTATTAGGTAATTACCAGATCTCTTTTTGCAGCCATGATGATTCCCTATCTTCTTCCTTGTCCCCATTACCAACTTGGTATCCCAAATTAAGATTAAGACTGTTATTAACTATTCCTCATTGCAAATTTAATTTAGTAAGTTATCCAGTCTAACCATGTGGTTTACTTTACAAGTCATTTATTTATTCACCTTTTTATATATTTCATTAGTTAGTTGAGTTGGTTTTCAATTATCTTGTAAGGAGTTGTCTAAAGAATTACGTCCTAAAAGGCACGCTCTTTATCATTTATCTACGACCTCCTGATTTAAAAAAACTGTTCAAAAGTCGATGTCAACAGGATGAAATCAATATCATCAAGATTACCAATAATCGTTTTCTGTCATTCGTTGATTTTTCTTTTAATTTGCCACTGATTGGTTCACTTCATTCATAAGCAGTTTTTACTTAACGACAGGAGCTCATTAGTCTCCCTCGAGTTATACGTGAGAGTCGGCATTCTTAGAACATTTTATGTTTGGAACTCTAATCACTGTGTTAGTTGTTAGCATTCCCAGAATAAATCATGCACTCTTAAGCTTTCTGCCATAATTTAAATTATTATGGATTACACTTCTGAATGTAATAGACCTGTTTCGGAGCAATACTGGTATTAAAACCCTTCGAAAAAGTGTTAAATTTAAGTCCAAATCGCTGTTCATTGGCAGAAAAAGATACCTTTCGACGGAAACAGTGTATACATGATCTTTAAAGCAAAGTCTAGAGCTAATGAGAAATAGGCAACTCAATTTTATGTTAGCCGTACATGACGTAGTGTTGTCTGTTTTGGGTAGACAAATCTAAGGCTTTGAACTTGATTTTATACCTGGCATTTAAGGGATTGCTTTATAAAGATAACAAAATTAATCACTCAATAAAGTACCTCCTGGAAGACACATTTTTGCTAGAGTTTCGATTTCAGCCTTGGTCAGAGCATAGTTGTAGATTCTGAACTCATCGATAAATCCCATGAGAGGGCGTCCGGCCTTATGGTCACCGATTCCAGCGCGTGCCAGCCAGTCCCTGGACAAAAGGCCACCTCCAATGGTCATATTTCGGAGCTCACCGTTGACATAAATTTTGGATTTACCAGTTGCAGAATCATACGTGCCGGCAATATGAGTCCATTTATCTGGGAAAAAAAGAAATAGATGTAGAATGTTTCTTGCTATTATGTTTTAGGACCTCGTCGCTAGACATTACACTCTGAGGCACATTCTAATGATAAAATGAAGCATGTCATTTCGTTACTGTATACTTTGTAGCTCTAGTAGGATTATAAGCTGCTTTCCAAATAATTATTTGCATTTTCACTTGCTTGTTGGGGATCTTGTCACATAAAAGAGCCGAGTGGCTAGCCCGAGAAATGAGGCCGACAAGGGCGAGCAGGAGCGCTTGAGGATTTCACGTACAAAGTATGAAGAAATCGTCTTGATTGAAAAGCTTTATTGGCCAGTTTTAGGTTTTTACCCACTTAAGTTGTCTGAAGCAAATAGTTCTAGACAATTAACACACTTATTAGTCTGTCTGTCAGACCATTATAGCCCTGGTTTCACATACCTTTCTGGACCTGTTTTCCCTCAGCAGTACAACTGAAGATAATATGTTGGGTCTCGTTCCTGTGGAACCAGCGTACTGAGCCGTAGTTGACTTCAAAGTGGAATTGTCCGCACTGATGGCTAATACCAATAGTGTCAAACACCGATCGACTGCCCTCAATATCCTTCAAGTTGATAAAAGCTGCGACTGTTACTCCTTCTCTGGGCTTGGCCTGGAAAGTATCACCATGGAAGAGGATGTCACCACAGTATGTGTAGGCAGCATTTCCACACTTACTGTTGGGAAAGTTTACCACTATAGCTCCATCCTGCATGTAGCCGTTGTTGGCGTAGCCAGAGGAATCTTCCACAACGTTCCCTTTGGTAGCGTTGAATTGAATGTGTGCTACAAGACGCTCTGGAAAAGAAAAGAGATTCCTAGTTAAAATCACCTTTAACTTTACAAATATAATTTATCAATCTCCGCTGAATAACTTAATATGTTTCACCTTAATTATTCGTGGTAAATAAAAGTTCTATTAGTTTACTTAAAGGAGAACGAACACAAACTGACTTGACGCATCAAAAGGCGCGCGCTGGGTTTCGAAGACGCGCCCTGAATATGATGACCAAGAAAGTTGTGCGCAGCAAAAATGTGAAGCACGGCTGAACCATTCAGTTAACCTAAGATTCATCTTTACGCGTCTTTTTTTCCGTCTTCTTTTTTCCAGATGTAACACATATTTTTAACTTAAGATACTCCTTCTACTTCTCTACTGGGCAATGTCTCCTATTTTGCTAGGAATGGCAGAAAAATTAACGGGAGCAGTTGTACTCACTGTCAAGAGCCATGTTAGCGGAGTCGGAGCTAACAATGCTGGGAATATTCTCTTTCTTGGTCATAAACTGACCGGGCTTGGGGTGTCTGCACGAAGCAAGTGCGCCTGTGAAAAAGTAAGAACCATCGTTAACCTTTCACAAACAGGCTAAGAAAACTAATATCTAAGACTGATAACAGGGACAGATCCAAAACTTGAAATACCGAAAGAGGGGCCAGGGAGACATGCCAGCTATAGAGAAAGTAACATTTTTTTACAACCAAGGTTTAAACCTTTCACATTTTTATGCTTGGCAAATATATTTTTTTGGTAGTTTTACCAATAATAGCTAATCTTGTTGAGACTCTATAAAAAAGAATGCATGCCTGTGATAAAACAGGCGACGTCAAGAGCTATTATAACGTTTTGGGAACGACTTTCAGTTAATTTCTGAAGCGTGCAGACATTAACAGTATCAACATTTCCCAAGAAGTATTGGGCTCGAAGAATCCCAAATGCGAACGTTTTGACCTAAATTAGCAATTTTTTGTTTCCATAGAAGCCTGACGAGACTTGTCAACTCAGTCTTTTCGAACTATTATTGCAAAAAATGTAGTCGATGTAGATTATCAAAAGCGAGAAATTAGCTATCAAAACTTTGCTAAAAATTAGCTAGTAAAACCATGTGGCATTGATCACATTATTTTTTAGTTTGTCTAAGTCCTCTTGGACTAGCTGCCGGAGAACTATTTGTTGTAAATACTGTGTTTTTCCCGTTTTTGAGGGCTGCCGATTTAAACATGTATTTCCATTTCTGAAAGGAAGTGGCTTACTCTACCTTACAGGCAAAAACATATCATAAATGATTTTTCACAGATCGAATGCATCTTAGTTCAGTTTCTAGATATGAAACGAAGTCAATTCAAAATAGCCACAAATTATGGCACTAAGCTAAAAATATGGTCAGCGGACTTATCAATCGCTTTTCACCAGCAAAGGTCAGGAGCCAGCATCATCACGTCACGGAGAGTGATTTGAAACAAGCAGGTACAATATTGTTTATAAAACATGAAATCACTCGCCAATGGCCCCGTTTGTGAAGTAAAAATACAATTTCTTAATTTCTAATGGTCGACTGTAAAGTTTAACACTTGGTTTAAAAACAAAAAAGGTTTTTTTGAAGGATTCGTTTGTCGGACACCATATCACCTGAATGAATTTGCCCCCGCCTTCTATAAGAATGGAAAAAACCATCAATGATATCCTATGATTAAATCAGATCCTTAAAGTACTCAAAATCGTGTTCCAGTCTCGAGGTTGCCACTTATGTAGTTGTAACTACTTACTAACAGTTATGAAATGGATTTATTTATCCCTCTCTGACTATTTGCCGTTTCAATACCAAAGCCCTACGATCAGAATTTCGTACTGGCAATTACAACCATAAATTCATCGCCCTCAGTTCGTAGCCATAGCATCGTTTATTAGGACATGGGTGATGTGGTGTCCGTTTACTCTTATAATGAAAAAAAGCTGAAATTCTAACCCGTTCATTTTTCTGCCGAGCAAGATTTAGAAGACAGTCACAAGTTTCGTAATATTTAAGCTGAGCCCATCACTTCGAAAAGCCTTTGCCTCTGAAAGGTAATTCGTTTTTCCCAAAACTCGGTGCAGGTAACATGAATGGATCTAAGATAAAATTCCCTTCTCCCAAATGAATTTATAAATCCTTCATTTGTATGGAAGTAAACGGGTAAGAAAACTATTGGTAGACAATATTTCATTGATCACAACAGCTTCCAGTATTTCAAGCTGTTCACACAAAAATTCGGACCACCTTATGAAGCAATTATAGAGGCCATAATTTTTAAACTGAATTTGACGATTTTGCTGAGAAGGAGTAAAACATGAAGTTAACTTTTTGTCACAAACACTTATAGAGTACGGAACAGAAACGGCGTTTTGCGTATAGGATTGTCTCTTATTGATATCTCTTTTCGTTAAGAGTTTTCGAAGTTTGATGGAAAAAATTCCCGATCTAAACAAGTGCATTGTCTACATCTTCGTCTTGTCAGGAATTCCCTGCTAACATTGTTTTTTAAATAACATAGTTATAACTAGTCAATATAAAAACATTATTACTAAACGAAGGCACGACTACTTTCAGGCCAAAATCACCTGTACTTACCACTTATGGTCAGAGCTAAAACGAAGAAAATTCTCTCCATCCTTCCTGGAAAAGGAAGAAATTTTGAAGGTTGTAATATTAGATTCTTTTCTTTTATAAAGAGGAGCGAAAGTTAATTAATTCCCAGGAAAATATATCAAAGAAAATAAAAATGTTATGGAAGACAAAGATAAATATTGACTAACAATAAAGCCACTGGCCCTTCCTGTGAACGCTGTCTAAGCACGCTGATCGGAGGAGAGCGGATACAAGAGCTAAAACCTGCCTTCTTAGAGATGCCAAGGATGTAAGAGGCTAAGCACGATCGCAGTTACGTCAGTGGAATACACTCATTTCGGAAACTTCAGCGGTTCGCCCAAAGAACAACAAGACTTCGTTTGACAGGTAAGGACAGGTTGAATCAAATTAGTGACGCTAATTGTAGTTTAGTAAAAAACAAATACACCGATAAATTTTGGCGAATATTTCAAGCTCTTCTTACCTTACAAACCTTTAAAACCCCAAAGAAATCCCCAGGGAAGTTTGCCGATCACACCAAAATGGATGACTATTTCTGGTATCTTTATTTCACGTGCCTTATCTAGCAGTCTTAGTTAATCTATTCGCATTCCAAAGCCATGACCCGTTTCATTCGCTCACTTGATTCTTATGAATATTTCACATAGGGTGACAGCGTAGGTGTCGCTTGTGAGAAAAAAGAAAAGAACCCCTTCCAGAAATATCGCAATTTGGCAAAAAGGAGGGCGACCGTGCAGCGCAAAAGTCGCTTAGGGGCTTAAATTCTTGGTACCTTTTTACCTCTCTTATGGAGCACTTTAGTGGTGCGTCCAATAATTTTGTTCTCTTGGGGGCGAAACAGATCCAGGCTACCAGTAAGAGAGAAATGAATTTTAAGCTATTGCGGCAGTAAATATTCAGTGATTAAAAAAGGTAGCTATTTTATTACTTAACTGACTCTGTGTTCCCTTGGAAGGAATCCGTTAAGTAAGTGAACAGATCAAGTTGCAATTGTAAGCTTGTTTTAAAAAGAACAATATGTGTTCTTTTACTCTTAACAGGTTGTTTACAGTGCGCGCAGGTGGGATTAGAGAAACTGAAAAACTTTTAAGTGATTTACTCAAATTCATATGGTTTGGTGAGCAAAAGAACACTGCACAGTTAACTGCTAGATTAACCACAACCACAATTATCAAGCACGCTTCACCAAGCGACTATCATCACTGAGGTGGGGGTCGAATTTCGCCCTCTTGCTAAAAGTTGAATAGTCCCAGAACCTTTACTGATTTAAAATTGGCCATGCGCATAGCAATAAAGTTGATCCAAACAGAAACTGAACAAAAATAACAACTTCGTTGGGTATGTTCTTGAACATAAGCAAAAAATAATAATTCAGTAGTCAGCCTTCTTATAAATGAAAGCTGTTCTTGTCACCATGTATGCTCTCTTTCACAGGGGGGAGTTGAAATATATATACTTGACTGCAAACCAATAGACTGAAATAGAGCATTAGACGACTTACGTCCTTCTATTTTCTACAAAAAACTAGAGCAATCATTTCAGAGAGAGAGAAAGTGAATGGGACAGAGGTTGAAGTGCTCTATAACTTGGGTGATTTTATTGCGACATCTGTTGGCAAACTTAGAGCAAAATTCTTGAGCAGCATGTTTACAATTAGTATGTGACAAAAGTAAATTCACAAACTGTCAGCAAATAGCCTGAGATATTGAATCACGCTGAAATCTTGGACTGTTTGCATGGGCGGTTTTGAGTTGCAACCAGATTGAAGCTCTTGTTGCGCAAAAAAGAATTGCTCGATCAAAATCAATCACCCGTATAAACTATCTTTAATTGAGCACTTCTGGTAATGAGGAGGTGGACGATGGTAAAATGCGCCAGACTAGCTAACGGCGTTTCTCGCGCAGTCTGATTGGCTGCAATGACTCAAGCAACGGATATTTGATACTATTGAAAACTCAATCATTGGATATTGAAATTCTAGAGCTCTGATTGGCGTAGCCATCATGGTATATGGGCCAATATACCATGCTCTCCAAATATGGTAACTGTACGCGTCTGCTCAAAATTAAAAACAAGCTGAGAATCGGTTGTTTTTACAAATAAAGTTGGAGAGAATTCTCGATATTCTGTGAGCATTTTAAATAAAACAACTATTCTACTCGCGCTTGTTGGATATGAGATGATTATAGCCACACTTGGCGCTACACGCCTCGTTGGCTATCTACGATCTCATATCCAACGCGCACTCGTGGAACAAATGTTAATTATGGCTTGTTTATATTAATTTATAACTTACATTCGGGAAACAAAGAGAGTTTGGTCTATAAATATATGCTGGTGAATAATCGGATCATCTGTCCAGGCGAAATAATCCACTTTTGTTCGTCTACAAAAACAAAGTTCGAAGATAGTTCGTCGAGGAGATGGATGATTTGTCTGATTATAGCACGTTTATGTACACAGACATGTACTTAGCACACATTCTTCTCGTCACTTATTTTTCGTCTAAATACATAAATAATATATTTGTTATACAAGCTTATTGTAGGTTTCTCTAAATCGCGCTTACAAATAAAAAGTGGCAATTTATGCTCTTTTAGTATATCGAGGCTGGGCTCGTAATAAACTATGCTACCTGGCTAGCCTTCTAACAGCTTGTTTCTATACTTCGAAACAAGTTAAAAACAACATTTTCAAAGGTTCTTCCTCCTGATATCATGATCAAAAGGATGAAAAGTGAGTTCGTTTCCCAATCTTCTACTAGCTTTATTTTGATCGAGAGGAATGCGTTCTTATCTAAACTCAGGAGTAGTGCGATAAGTAGACTACGAGCAGTCTCTCTTTTTTTCTGTAGTCCGTCGAGCAAAATGCGAGACACGCAAATGGCCACGCGATGGGAGAGGCTTATCTTTTTCTTCTCGTGCTGC